AGAACAAGAAAAAGTAGCTCGCGCGAGCTAATGTAACATAAATGTTGAAAAACCATTGGTTTTGTTGGATTCGGACAGCGCGCGCGGAAGGACATTTTGACAATTTTTTCTTAAAAACCATTGGGTTTTTGATGTTTTTATGTTAAAATCGTTACGAAACCTAAGGTTTTGAAGGATTTCGTCTTGCGCGCACGAATGTCCACTTTACCTTATTTTTTTGCAAGGGATTCTTGCAATTTGATCAAGTAAGAACAAGAATTTTCATTTTATAGTGTTTTTTGCAAGGGAAACGGATTACAACAAAACAACCGGATCCGGTGACAATCCACTTTTCTGAAGCTTTCGCTAGAAAATGAAGGAAATGAGGCTGCGGCCTAGGTTTTGGAGGGGGGTCGCGCACCAGGGGTCTCAACAATAATATTTCTTTAGAAGTAATAATGTTCAACAACAACAACACCAACAACAACAACAACAACAACACCACCACCACCACCACCACCACCACCACCACCACCACCACCAACAACAACAACAACAACAACAAGAACTCTCCAATGTCCGCGCAGAGTTCTTGGATCTGCGTTGGACTCCCCTCCCTAGCGCGCGGAGCGCGCCAGCGGAGGCACCGCCGAGAGGCCCAGAGAGACTCAAACCATCCGCGCGGAACTTCGACCATCAATGTTTTCGCATGCCACCCACCCCTTCACTGCCTTCGGGCCCCTACACAAGGTGGCGACTCCCCTCTCTGGGGATCCAGAAAATTCACGCGGCGTGGTTGGGCGAATCTAGCAATTCCGTAGGCATCTCAGAAGGCTGCTGCTGGGACGATCCAAAAGCCCCCTCGCAGAGCGACGCGAACAGTGGTGATCCTCCTTCGATGATCCTCGGTGCGCGTCTCAGCCAAGTGCGTGCTGGTGCAAGCACTGACGCTCTTAGATACGACGCAGGCAGTGTGATGATTGCCGACACGGGCTGCATGCTGCATATATCAATGGAACGGGGAAAACGCACATCGGGCGAGCACACGTCCAGGGGATCATCGGCTCCTTCCCAAGCCTCCGATGATGGCACCCGGCCTGAAGAGAAAACCACCCTAATTCTCATGTGCTGTTTAAGGCATGTTGTGATCCTTGCGTGCAGCACCAAGAAGGTATAGTGGCGCATCGAGGCATTCATGTGTGGCCTCCAAGTTAGGGCTGTCGTCGAGCTGAGCGTGCCGGAAGAAAGCCAGCCGAGCCAGCCCGAAAGACGGCAGAGCGCCGTCGAGAGCACCAGACAACGAGGCTGTGCACCTGCTGCCTTCTGGCAGGGCGTCTCCCAGGCCTGAGCAGCAAAGGCCCAGGCCCTCACCTGGGGAAGAGGGCCGCTGCGATGTCTCACGCCTGGAAATCCAGGGCCGCCCCCTTCAAGACTGCACCCTGGACCTCTGTCCTCACCCCCGCCCCCCACCGCCCCCTGCCAGGCCCGTCGCTGGGCGCAGCACAGCTTCCCGCGGCGGCCACTCCCGCGGGCGGGAGACGTGCCCCTGTCCACGGTCTCGCGGCCCAGGCTCCGCGGCCGCGCCCCCAGCGGATGCAGGGCGGCGTTGAGCGGGTGCCCCGCGCGGAACGCGCCCAGGGGATCGCGCACCCGGGGGGGGGGGGGGGAGGAGGGGAGAGGAGGAGAGAAAAGGAGAGAGGAGGGAAGGAGGGAGGAGGGAGGGAGAGGAGGGAGGAGGAGGAGGGAGGAAGGAGGAGGGAAGGGAGAGTGAGGGAAGGGTAGAGGAGGGAGGAGAGAGGAAGAGGAGGAGGGGGATCGCGCCTCGGATCCCAGATCGCGGGGGCACGGGCATGGCTCTGTCGTGTGCTCTCATCGGCCTGCACGCCCGCCCCCCCCCTCGTGCGCCGAGGCCTCTCTTGCCCCGGAGGGGTGGCCACTGCACCACCCCGGGCCGCCTCGCCCGCCCGCGCTCGGCCCCATCCCGCCCGGCTGGGGCTGCGGGCGCCGCTCGGGGCGGCCGGGGCACAACGAACAGAACAAACGAACGCCGGAGCCGTGCGTGCCCCTCTGGGGAGAGCCCGCGCCGGTGCCCATCATATAAGGCATGGCGTGGAGACGGGCCGCGCCCGTGCCCATGAAGGGGAGCTCGCCCGTGCCCTCCTCGGGGGAGCTCGCCCGTGCCCTACGAGGAGAGAGGAGGGCGGAGGCGGCCGAGAGGGGAGGCCCTGGCGGGAACGGGCCCCGGACTCCGAGGCCGTCGCCTCCGTCGCCGCGGGTCGCTGCTTGGCTGCCCCACGGCCTCCTCGTCGTCCTCCTCGTCCTCCTCGTCCTCCTCGTCCTCCTCGTCCTCCTCCTCCTCCTCCTCCTCCTCCTCCTCCTCCTCCTCCTCCTCCTCCTCCTCCTCCTCCTCCTCCTCCTCCTCCTCCTCCTCCTCCTCCTCCTCCGCCTGCTCCCCCTCCTCTGCGCTCGGCGCCAGCCACCCCTGGAGGGCCCTGGGGAGGGAGGCCGCAGCCGGCGGGAGCCCGTGGCCCCTCCCTCGGGGCGCAGCTGCCGATGCGTCGGCGATGCGTCGGCGAGGCGTCGGCGGCGCGTCGGCGGGAAGCAAAACGGGGGGCCCCACGTCGTGCCGCACCGCCGATGCCTCGGCGGTGGGGCGCGGTCCCCCGACCCCACCTGCTCAGACCCCATGCGGGAGACCTACGGGGCAGTTTTTTTAATGCGTAGGAATTTTTTTATTCTAAAAAATGATGATATTTTTATTTTAAAAAATGATGTTTAATACACGACTAGTGTACGAATAGATCTATGCATGACCCCATCGTTGTGTTTCTAATACTACATCCCTGCCTGTTTCACACACGATCCGCACGCGGAGCATGCATCAAAAACGGCTCGGTATACTCGTGGGCGCAAAACGTACCCGTGTCCGCGGCCTCGCGGGCCGAGCCCCTGCGGCTACGGTGCGTGGTTCGGTGGATGCCCCGCGCAGCATGTATCCGTGCGGCCGCGGATCCGCGAGATCTCGCCCCGAGATCCAGGCCGCGAGGGCGCAGAGATGGATGTGGTTGCCGCTTATGGTACAGCCCACCCGTAGAATAAGAGCGTACGACCAGGATGCAGAGGCCTTGGAAGGCCATGCCAACACTTTGCGAGCGGGGCGCGGCCAGCGAAAGCGGCCAGGCAAGGGCCGAAGGGGAAGGATGCCAGGGGCAATATCCGAAACCTGCTCATCGTTGCTATGCGGGTCGATTGTAGACCTCGGGACCCCCCTCCCTCCACGGCGAACCGCGAGGGGAGCGGCGGACAGTTGGACGTCGCTTTATTGGGGGGGATAAATGTGGGGGAAGACAGGTGCACTCTTCGGGCCCTAGACGTCCCCTCTTGGTGCCCTAAAGGGCATCTTTAGGGGCCCAGAGGACCCCTTTCTGCAGCCCTCGCTGCCCCCCCATGCATCGGCCCCCCATTTAGAGTCCTCCTAGATGAAATCCGAATCCATCAGGTCGAAGGATCGCGCCGCATCATCAATGCATCGCCAATGTATCGGCGATGCATCGGCCACTTCGGCGACGCATCCGCAACGTCGGCGTGGGGAAAATCCGCCGACCCTGTCGGCGTGTGCGAGTGGGTTGTCTATTCGAGTCGTCGTCTCCGTCAGTCGTCGTCTCGGTCGTCCCATTTCCCTGGACCTCCTCCAGCCTGTCAGCGAGAGAACAACCTCGCACTGTCGTAATCGAATCGATGGAAGCCCCTTCCCTTTGATCCCTCCCCCGTCAGGGGGATCCCCCCCAGGGGGTCCTGGGGCTGCAAAAGGTAATTACCAAAGCAAGCCAAGAGTGCCCCAAGAAGCCCCCGAGACAGTCCCAGAGAGCCCCCAATCCCCAAACGATCGGTTCAAAACGTCTTCAGGCTCTCAGACGACCCAGGAGACCTCCCAAACGCCCCCAGAGGCCTCCAAAGGCACTCCCGGGAGGGCCCCAAGAGGCACAAGTCTTGGACTTGCCTGCGGTTTTTGACAGATTTGGCCGTCGCCGTGTCCGCTTTCCGCCGCTCCACGAGGCCCTCAAGATCCACCCAAGACGGCCCAAGAGGCTTCCAAGAGCGCTCGCAAACATCCCAAGAGAACACCCAGACAGCCCAAAACGCCTCCAAGACGGCCCCACACGCCCCCAAGACGGCTCCAAGAGCATGCCTTAACGGAGAACCCGCACGGACGGTTCGAGCCCTCGGCCCCGAGAAGCTCCCAGGAGGCCCCCAGAGGTTTCCAAGAGGCCCGAAAAAGCCAACAAGAGGTTCCGAGGACACCCGAATAGACCCCCAAGAAGCCTCCAAGAGGCTCCCAAGAGACCCCACAATTCCTCCCCAGACGCCCACGCGAGTCTTCCCATGAGACCCCAAGAAGCATCCCTGAGGACTCGGGCCCACGTCAGCGTCGTCGTCGTCGTCGCCGCCGCCACCGCCGCCGTCGTTGTCGACGTCCCCCTTCAGGGTCGGCGGCACCGGCCGTAAGGCCTCCGCAATCGGGCTCCGCATCAAGCCGCATCGCCGATACATCGGCGATGCAGCGCGATCCTCCGACGACTCGCACCCCATCTGGGAGGCCTCGACCATGACGCCACGCACCAGACATAGGGCGACGAAATCTATGCATATCCACTGCTCCCTGGCCAGACCCATCCTCAACCCAGCAGCGGTGTGTACGCCACAGCCCCCCCCGGCTTGGCCGGGAGGGCGCATACACAGCTCCTGGGTTCAGCATGGGCCTGGCCAGGGAGCAGTGGATGTGTATGTCGGGCCGGGCGAAAGGGGGGGACAGCAAAGGGGGCGGTTGAGAATCAGCTCACGTGGCTGATTTGCCCAGCGCCTCCCGGCGCCGGAGGCGGCTACGGATCGAGGCATGGGCTCCTCGGCGGGGCCGAAACCGGCTGCACGCAGCAGATCTCGTACCCCCCCCTTGCCCACTCCCCCCCTTTCGTCGGGCCCGAGCATGGACTTCGTCGCCCGACAGACAGGGCGGCTCCTGGGCCCGCCGGTGCCACCCCTCGCCGGGTTGAAGAGCCTCTCGTACGCCTGCGCGGGCGCGGCCGAGGCGCCGTGCCTCCGGTCTGCGGCCGCCGCGCGGGGGCCCGCCGCGCGGCGCAGAGCTCCGGGGGCGGGTGCCCGGGGCTGCCGTCGCAGAGGTCTGAAGAGCAGGAGAGCACACGTGGCGGAGATCGGAGGCCCTGAGCTGGGACGCGCTGGGGGGCCACATGCGAGCCCTACCCCTACCCCCCACGATTTCTGAGGGGGGGGGTGGGGTTCCCTTCATTCGGGAGCTCCCGAGCGAAGCGAACCCCACCCGCCCCCTCAGAAATCGTGGGGGGTAAGTGTAGGGTTCGCAGGTGGCCCCCTAGCGCGCAGAGACAGTTTGATGCTGTATGTCCTCCTTGGAGGCGCGCGTCCGACCCGAAGAGATGGTGTACCCATCCTGTAGTAGATCGTTTCCCGAGCGGTGTGGCCAGAAAGCGCCCGCCACGACGCATGTACTATAATAGTTCTCGGTGCGCGCGTCGCCCGTGGGGGGGCGACGCACACATAGTATTAGCATGTTGGGGTGACGCCGATTCTTACCATCTCTTGGTAGGTCGACTATTGTTTCCGCCAGCTTCCGCCGAGCCTCCGCCGAGGCAGACATGACAACGCCCTCGATCCTCGAAAGCACGGCCTTGTCTGGAACGATCCGCACGAGCGACGAAAAAACAGGTCTCACGCGAGATGACCTACAGTCGGGGCGTTGACCTAAGGAACCCTAAACAAGGAACGAGGCCCCTCTTTTCCATAAGTGAAACTTCGATGTACAATTGAACACCTGAGGAAAGCCCAAGGCCAACTGTAAAACAATCAAGGAACTCCGAGCCCCTCCCCAGGGCCCCGACTGTAGCGACCTTGCGCCGCGGCTCACGCGGGCCAGCGCCGCGGCGCGCCACCCGGTGGAGACGCGGGCGCCCGCGCGCGAACCTTGCGCGGGGAGCCTACGTGCCCCGGTCGGCGCAGACGGCCCCGTCTTTCTCTGCGTCGCTCACATGTGATTATCTCGGAGCTCCGTGCGGACCTGTTGGCTCGGCGCTGGACCACCCTCGATGGCGCGCGGAGCGCGCTGAGGGGGGCGGCGGCGGAAGCGACGCCAGGGGGGGGGGGCCAGGCGCCGATACAAAAACTGTTTGAAAATCCGCGCCGGGGTTCCGAACACATGTGCTGTGGGCGCACAGCGCCATCGAAAGCGCGCGCGCACGTGAGCTGCGTTGTGCGCGGGCACGGATTTCGCGCCTGCGCCTGGCCCGCGCGCGTGCGGGCGAGCTGTGCGCGCGGGCCGCTTCCCGCCTCTCCGCGCCTCGCGGAGCGCAGCCCCACGAGAAGGGCTCGCACAGCGAGGGGGGCGACGGCATGTGCACTGGTGCGCGCGGCCCGGCGAGAAGGGCCCGCGCGCGCACGAGGCGACAGTTGTTGTTGTGCTTGTGTTGCGTTGCGCGCTCCGTGCAGGCGCGCCGCGGGGGTTGCACGCATTGGCGCTTGCATCCTGCAGACATAGGCGCTCGCGTCCGGCCTTCGCGGACGGCACGCGCGTTTTCGCGTGGCCGGCTGTCGTGCTGCATTTCGTGGCTGGTTGATGTGCCGTGTCGTGGCCGTCTGGCGCGGCTGCCATCCTGGCTGTTCGTGGTCGTTTGGCTGGTCGTGTCGCGGCCGTCTGTCGGGGTGTCGTGGCTGTCTTGCTGTCGTGTCGTGGCTGTCTGGTTTGTCGTTCGCCGCCGCGCGCGCGCCGGCCGCTGCCCTCTTCTCCCCGTGCAGGTTTCCCCTCCCCGCTCCCTCCTCCGCCAAGCGCAGGTGCTTCCTCTTCTGCCACGACAAGCTCCCCTCGTCCGACTTGTGCGCTCGAAGTCCAAATTGTTTTTCCGCTGTGGGCGGGCCCACGCACCGTCCGCCTCTGCTTTGCGCGCGGCGTCCTGGCCCGCTTTCCCGCGTGATCTGCCCGTCTGGTATCCTGTACCCGCGTGTGCCATCCGTACCCAATTCGGCGGTGGCGGGGTCCAGTCGGCCCTTGCCCCGGATGCAGGCTAACGCGGTTTCTTCTGTCACGGGCGCAAAATGTCCGTCGGCCCCGAGTGGCCACGCGGGGCCAACACGGCCCTCGCCAGGGCGCGGGCCCATTCGGCCTCTGCGCACGTCGGCTCGTGGGCCCAATCGGCTAAGTCCGCCAGTGCAGGCCAATGCGGTTTGCTGTCTCACGGGCGCCCACTGTCCGTCGGCCCCCGGCGGCCACGAGGTGACAATTCGCCCCGCGCAAGGGCGCGGGCCTTCAAAACACATCCGAAGAGACTCCAGGAGGCATGTCAGAAGCTTCTAGCTTTACTGTTTCCCGTCATCATCCTCTCCCTAGTTCACCTATTCCTACTCCTCTCTCCTCCCTCCTCCTCCTCCTCCTCCTCCTCCCCCTCCTCCTCCTCCTCCTCCTCCGCCTCCTCCTCCTCTTCCTTTTCCTCCTTCTCCCCCTTCTGGTCGTCCTCGTCTTCGCCCTACTCCATCTCGTCCTCCTTTTTACCTTCCTCCTCCTCCTCCTCCTCCTCCTCCTCCTCCTCCTCATTTTCCTCCTCCTCCTCGTTATCCTCCCCCCCACGACGACGGTTCCTCCTCCCTCCTTCTCTTGGGGTATATGGCGGTTTCCCACGCCCTTTGCTATTCTGCATGATCTACCGTTTCCCTGGTCACCCGAGATCCACCGGGCATCGTTTCTGCATGGACAGGTGGGGGCACTTTTTCGCTCGCGAGCGCAAGCGGTAAAGCCGCGCGCCGTCAATAAGATCCAGCGAAGACCAAGAAAAGCAGCGGCCAGGAACGAGGCTAAGCGCGCGCAGCGGGCGAGCAGCCGAAAAAGGGACAGCGGCCATGCCCGCGTGCCGAAGAGTGGCCCTCAGCAAACTTGTCCTCAGCGAAGTTGTCATCAGCGACCCTCTCCTCAGCGAACATGTCCTCAGCGAACTTGTCCTCGGCTACGAATCGGCATGTGCCGAATGTGAAGCACGGGCACCACCGCCGCCGTCGAGTACGAATCCTGCGGCCACACCACGTAAGCCAGCCTCACGAAGGTGCCCTCGAAGACCTACATCAGCCGGCGACGCGTGCCGTCCACTCAGTCGACATACCACGGACAAATGCCAACGAACGGAACTAGCGAAGAGCGACGGGTGCAGGCCAAGGTTTCACTGTGCTGACCAGAGCACCTCCCGCAGGGACACAGCCGCAGGGAGAGGACCCTTGTCTGCTGGCACTGGTCCCAATGTCACGGGGGGAGCGCCGGAGGCCACGTAGGCGCTGTGGGTGGCGGTCGCAGCTAAGAGCCGCAGGAGCTAACAGTGGGTAAGCCCGTGCACCTCCTGCGGGGGGACAGCCGCAGGAGGATGGACGGGCCAGACAGCTCGGAGAGGCTATTGCTACATCTCCTGGCGCCCGCGCCCCTGTAGGGAGCGCCGAGGGCCAAGGTAATACTGTGGGTGGGGTCGCAGCTAACAGCCGCAGAAATAATGAAGTCAATGGGCGTGCCCGTGCACCCCCTGCGAGGGGACAGCCGCAGGAGGAGGACGGGCCAGACGGTCCAGAGAGTTCATTGCCTGCTGGCCCCAGCGCCCCGGGGGGAGCGCCGAGGGCCACGGACGTACCGTGGGTGGCGGTCGCAGCTAATAGGCGCACAGCGAATAGTACAGTGGGTAAGCCCGTGCACCTCCTGCGGGTGGACAGCCGCAGGAGGGTGGACGGGCCAGACACCTCGGCCAACGATATATCGCCTGGCGCCCGCGCCCCTGGAGGGAGCGCCGAGGGCCAGGCCGTACTGTGGGTGGCGGCCACAGCTGACAACCGCAGAGATAGTGAAGTCAGCGGGCGTGCCCGTGCCCCACCTGCGAGAGGACAGCCGCAGCAGGAGGACGGGCCAGACGGTCCAGGGAGTTCATGGCCTGCTGGCCCCAGGAGCGCCGAGGGCACGGACGTAGTGTGGATGGCGGTCGCAGCTAACAGCCGCAGGGCTAGTAGAAACAGGGTGGGCCCCAGAACCTGCGGGGGGACATCCACAGGAGGAGGGGCGGGCAGGACGGCGCGGGGGGCAGGGGCAAGGCAGGGGGGCGGGAGGAGGGAAGCAGCTAAACAGCCGCAGAGTCGGTGAAAGCCATGGGGTCAGTAGGTCGGGGACGGAGGGGGGGCGTGGGGGCGGGGGGCGGGGGGCGAGGGAGGAGCGGCTTACTAGCCGCAGTCAATGTGAACAAAACGTGGGGGACGGGGGCGAGGGGGGCAGACGGAGGGCGAGGGAGGGGGGCCGCTGACCAGCCGCAGCGTGCGTGAGGAACCCTGGGGGCAGCCGCGGCAGCGAAGACCGAGGACGGGGGAGCGGGGGGGCGGGGGGAAGGGGCGACGGGGGAGGCAACTAACAGCTGCGGTCAGGGTGATGTGCCAGGGAAGGGACCCGCCGCGGGCAGGGACCGTAGAGAGGGAGAAGCCGTCTGGCGGGGATCTGCAGGGTACGGGCCCTCGAGCCGGGTGGCCAAGAGAGCCGAGCACCAATGTGCAAGGCAGCGCGGGGCTGCAAGAGGCGCCGCAGGGGCTCTAGCAATGTCGGAGGCCCGCCGGGAGGGGGGCCAACCCCCGGGTTCGCCTACGGCGCGTCAGGGGGGGGCGGCAGTCATCCAGGGGGGGAGGGGCAGCAAAGTGGTGCCCCAGAGGGAACTCTGAGACCTGGGACGAGCCGACAGCCCCAGCTGGGCGCGCCCGAGGCGGCATTGGCGCACGAGCAGGGGTGCGCGGGAAGAACCGACCAGCCTCGCTTGGCCGGGGAGGGACTGGGCCCCGTGAGGCACACTTTTATACAGTGTGGGGCGTTCATGGGCAGGCGAGAGTCGTGGCGTGCGTTCGCCTGTGTGGCTTGGGCAGAGACTTGGGGTACACCCAGGGTTGGCGCGAGCCCACGGCCCGTCCTGGTCCCACCGTCCTCGTCCAGCGGGAGTCGCTGTCCTCTCGTGGCCCCTTCCCTTTGGCCTTGCCAGGGGTACCCTTGGCCCTGGCCCTATCATTGAACCGAGTGCGGACTGACAGGTGTGGACATTTTTTTATTGGTCGCGGGCGGGCGCGGATTCGCAGTCGCCGAGCTGAGAGGTCCGGGCCACAGGCCTGTCAAATTAGCAACGCGCTAGCCTGAGAGCACAGCGGCCGAGCCCGGAATCAGAACCTACCGCCGAGGCCGCAGGCTGAGGCTGAGCTGGCTGAGCTGACTGCAAACGGCCAGGGTAGCTGATGCACCCATGCGAGTGAAGTGGCTCCTGCACGCCAGGAGAGGTCGTGACCTGTTCTGTACCAACAGACCACACGTCTGCCGAGTGGGGCGGTGCCACCAGACGGGCGGGCGGACCCGGGTAAGCGGCGCGCAGCCAGGAGAATGGAGCCCGAGAGGTGCGAGCGCGATCACGACCTCAACTGGGTACCGTGGGAGGAAGTCACCAGGTACGCAGACGGACCTTGTCGCCACAGGGCGACAGGTGGGGACACGCGAAGCGTCAACAAATTGGTAGACATCCCATGTTCTGGCGGCGGCAAAGCACCCCGTGCTACCTCAGACAAAGATTTGCGATGCCGAAAAACAGAGCCACCGTGTCCAATGTTTCAACTCTTCCTGTATGACTCGAGCTCGCGTGAATATTACGTTGGGGTCGCTGTGTGCCCTGCTCTCTCGCGGTAGAGGTCCTCGTAGAAAGCTACGGGCACTGCTCAAATCGACGTGTCATCAGTCTGCATAGTCCCGCTGCTGCCCTTGATCCGCAGTTCTCTCGGCAGTCTATCTGGCTCTTGCGTGTCACGCCTTGCGCGTAGCAACGCCTGGGTGGTCGCACTATGTTTGCGCCTGTTGTCACTGCCTCGTGCGGCACCAGGTTCCGAAGCAACTTCCACTATCATTTCCGCTGGATCCATTTTGCAACCAAGCTAGGACAGCTGTTCGCCCAGGCCTATATGATACAACGTTGGTTTTCCGTCTCCGTCAGGTTTGGGGGCCACCGAACCCCCAGCCTGACAGATTCGCTGGCAATCTCGTCGATCAGCATGCATTCGACGCTTCATTTCTGCCCTGTGCTCATGTGTGCACGCGTCCCCTGTGAATCGAAGTCGTTGCTCATGGATGTCACCGCCGCCGCCGGCCGCAGCCCATGCAGCTGCAGCACCGGGACACCTCCCGGCGCCCCTCCTGGCCAGATCTGCTCGCATCCCCGATCCACTCATGACGCCCCCCCCCCCCCGGGTCCCGCAGCGGGCCTCCAGCGGCCGACCACCGAGGACAGGCTATCCTCGAGCACCGAGCCTCGATCCTCAGCGGCCTCAAGGATGGGGTCGGAGCAGGTGGGGCCGGAGAATCTCTCCGCATCGCCGAGGCATCGGCGACACATGGGCGACGTCGGGGATGAAGCGGAGACGACCGCGTGGGAAGGACCTGGCTCCACCTCGAGGCGCCTCGGAGATGCCGCGCGATCTTCCGACCCCATCCACTTCGACCCCATCTGAGAAGCATAGACCACGACCACGACCACGACCACGACGGCGGCGACAGCGGCGTCGGGCTCGGGCCCGCAAGGGTTAGAGAAAGAAAAAACGGCATTAACATAAATTTATGGCGCTCCGCGCGGATTTCTTAGATCAGGGGGGGCCCAAAGCGGATGCAAGAAATCCAGCGCGGAGCGCCAAAAGCTTATGTTTATGACGATTTGTCCTCTTCGAAGGGTGCCCCCCACGTGCGAGGCGGGAATTCATCCATATCCACCGCCTGGGAACCAACGTCCTGGTGCCCCAGCGGGCAGTGGATATGGATAGCTTTTGGCCCCCGGGGGCCCGAATATGTCCATATCCACCGCCGCTCCCAAACCCCCTCGGCGGGACAGGAAGAGAAGCCTCTTTCTGCTCCTTCCGCACCTCCTCCTGCCAGCACTCGTGCTCCTCATGCGCCTCCTCCCGCTGATGCTCGTCCCCCTCCCCCTCGTGTCCCTCCTGCGGAGGATGTGCCCCCCTTCCTCCTCCTCCTCCTCCTCCTCCTCCTCCTCCCCTCCTCCTCCTCCTCCTCCTCCTCCTCCTCCTCCTCCTCCTCCTCCTCCTCCTCCCCCTCCTCCTCCTCCCCCTCCTCCTCCTCCCCCTCCTCCAGGCGGTGGTCATGCACAAACTCCCACCTCGGAGAGGGCGCCCGGCGCCTCGCCCTGGCCGTCCTGCGTGCCGGCGGCGCCGCGAGCCCGGCGGAGCAGGGACGAGGAGGTCCGCTCGGCGCCGCTCCTCCGGGGGCGAGCTCAAAAGGGGGGGGGGGGCGTTCGAGCCCCGATGCCCTAACTGAAGGGGCCCTGGGACACACACATAAACACACACACACACACACAAATAACAGGATTCCCCCTAGTTCCCCATATCTTCGGGGGGTCCGTCCTCCCCCTCACTGCCCATCTTTTCCCACATTTCCTCGGGAATGGACGATTAATTGTGTCTGTGTGTTTCTCTCCTCCCGACTAACCTCAGGTCGGGCATGTCCTCCTACAGGGGGATTGTGGACGACAAACCAGAATTAGTCAACAGATGAACCCGAAAAGCTCAAACAAATAGTCCAGCAGTCGTCCCCAGACTATGCTTCACTATTTTGGGGATATGCCTCCTGTAGAGGGGCAGGCCCGACTTACGCCGAACGTGAACATCGAGGATCGAGCTCTTTGGATGCTCGTTCTGGGGACCTCCCTGGAGCCACTCGCTCCACTCTTGCGTCGAAGCTGCGTCGAACGTCAGTCGAGTTGGGTCGACCCTGAGTCGAACCTGAGTCGAACCTGAGTCGAACTGGGGTCGAACTGGGGCCGAACTGGGGTCGACCAGATCCGTTACGTAGGTGGGCTCCAGGAAGGTCCCCGAAACTAGCCTCGAAAGCTCTTTTCCCAGACCGACAGGGGTTGGGACAGGGCTCGAGCGAAACGGTGCTCTCCGCGTTCGCCCCTGCTTTCGGTGCCCTGCGCCCCCGCCCTCGCCCTGCCCCGGCGGCGGGGCGAGGCCGAGACGAACACGGCCTCCACGAAATCGCCAGAGCACCACTGAAGGGCCCCCAGGACCCTCCACGAAATTGAAGGGGAACTGGGACACACGAATAAATGCACACAAATCAAAGGATTCCCCATATTTTCCCATATTTTCTGGGGTTCTGTCTTCCCCTCACTTTTCATATTTTCCTATATTTTCCTGGACATCGACGATGAATTGTGTCTGTGCGTTTCTTTCCCGCCTGAGAAATCGCCAGAGCACCCCTTGGCTCGAGCCCTGGCCCGGGGGCGCGAGACGTCCAGACCAGAGCTGCCGACCCACCTCGCACGCCCTGCGTGCCGCGGCCGCCGGGCCGCAAGTGTCCCTGGTGGCCCCTGGGCGTCGCGCGGACGACGGCGTGAGGCACCGTCGGGGGCGGTCCAAAAGGGGGCGGTCCAAGAGGGGGACGTCCAAGAGGGGGACGTCCACGAGGGGGCGCGAGGGGGGGCGTCCAAGAGGGGGGCGTCCAAGAGGGGGGCGTCCAAGAGGGGGGCGAACATCATGGCTGGCGACGCGTGCGCTGCCCGTGGGCGGGGCCGGGGACGTATTGGAATGAGAGGAGGCGCCAGGAAATCTGGGGAGGCATCATGGCCCCCGCCATGATATCCACACACCCGCCTAGTCCTTCCCCCCCGTCTTTGCCGCCCCCGAAACAAACATCAGGATCAGGCGCCCAGGCGACGAGCTCGGGAGGATCGAGGCTGGGTATGCTCCTTCTGAGCCCATTTTGGGCCCAGAGCGCCGCCCTCGTTAGAAGAAAAAACGCCATAAACATAAACCTTTGGCGCTCCGCGCGGATTTCTTGGATCGGCGCTGGACCCCCCTCCCTGGCGCGCGCAGCGCGCCAGGGGCGGCGCTGGAGGCGCCGCCGGGGGGCCCAGGCGAGGATCCAAGAAATCCGCGCGGAGCGCCAAAGTTTACGTTTGTGTGTTTTCTTCTTCTTCGACTCGTGGCCACTGACGCATCCGCCTCGAATGGTTAGTCGGAGCGGGCCCCTGGACAGTGACCCACTTTCGGACGACATGGCTCTTCGAGTTGATCACTCACACTTCGGCCTTCAGAGCCCTCTCCCTCGGGCCCCAGGGCCAGCCCCAGGGCCGTCGGACATCAGTCCTGAGAAAGCAAACGATTGGGGTGGACCCCACGAGTTGCCCAGGGATAAAGTAGGGGGCCACTGGCGAACTCTACCCCTACCCCCCACGATTTCTGAGCGAAGTGAACCGGACCCTCCCCATCAGAAATCGTGGGGGGTACGGGTAGGGTTCGCATGTGGCCCCCTAGAAAATTTGAGCGGGCTGGGGCAAGCTCGCACAGGAAAACGGATCCTGGTGTATACGGGATCCTGGTGTATACATGTTTTGTTGTTTCCCCGAGAAAAGGGGGACAAAAAGTATCACACCACCCCGACGTCGCCCCCGACCCTTACAAAGTCCTGGGGTTGAGAAGCAGTCCGCCACTGGTAATGTATTCATTTTCCGACCTTGGGCTCGTCTTAGGTCGGGCATGTCCTCCTACAGGCGGATTTGGAGCAAAAATCGAAAAAATCAAACAAAAATAAAAAAATGTAGAAACATCGTCCCCTGACTATGTTTGTATTATTTTTGAATTTGACCCCTGTAGAAGAACACGCCCGACATGGGGCTCGTTCTGGCCAGAAACACCGCGCGGATGCAGCCGCGAAAGCCACGGCGAGCCCCCCCTTTGAGGCTCCAAACGGGCAAGAGACGCCCAGAAACCTTCGGGACCCCTTCCAGCCCCAGCCAAGACGAAGCCAGGACCAAGATAAAGAGGATAAAAACATTGAGAATCTCTGAGACCGGGCGGCCCTGGAGGATGTCTCGGGCGCCGCGGCCTTCTTAGAGCGATCCAGAACGCTCCGAGAGCGTTCTGGAACGCTCTGAAACGGATTTATCCTCGTCCTAGCTCCGCTCGACATCCCCAGGACGAGATAAATCAACAACGACTTGGGAAATCGGATCGGGTCGACGTGTGCGCCAGATCGGGCTGCATTGGCATGCTGTCGAAATCGGATCGTATTGGCTGTACCAGGACTCACAACAGCGCCATGCAGGCATCCGGCCGCATTGGATCTCTGGAAGATCAACAACATGCTAGCCAGCGTGGACCCCAACCAGTGTGTTTCTAGCTATATGTGTTGTGCAATCGCTGTGAAGCAGTCTACGTGGTGCAATCTACGTGGTGCAATACATGTTGTGCAATGTATGTTGTGCCGTATAAGTTGAGCTATCCATGCTGTGCTAAATATACACATATAGAGAGATGTGTGCGCGTGGTACAATATGTGTGCTGCAATCCATGTTATGAGCAATGTATGTGGTGCAGTCGTCGTGGTAAAATATGTGTTTCGTAGTCGATGTGGTGCAATCGACGTGGTGCAATGTGTGTGGTGCAATTCGTGCAGCGCACTGTATGTGTTTCCATCAATGTGGTTCAATCTAGGTGGTGCAATCTATGCGGCGCAATCTGTGTGTCGTGCAATCTAGGCGGCGACGGGGCGGTGACAGCGACCACGGGGCCGCCAGACCGACAACCAGGCCCAGACGACGGGCGGTGACTAGGTGGCCACAGCGACCACAGAGCCGCCTGACGCCTGACCGTCACCCAGGCCCAGATGATGAGCGGCGGCGAGAGGCGACGGCGGAGCGGCGAACGCGAGTACCGAGCCGCCAGACCAACACCCAGGCCCAGACGACGGGTGGCGACGAGGCGGCGACGGGGCGGCGACGGCGAGCACGGAGCCGCCAGACCGACATCCGGGCCGAGTCCCTCAGATCAGAAGTAAGATGCCCTCGGTACAAGCACTGCCTGGGGAATGAAGTCGGCCCCTCTGTGGAGGAGGCCTCTCCGTGGAGAAGCGAGGCGTCTGCACCGCTGCCTGAACTGGACAACGTCTGCTTCCCGGGGCTGCAGAGTCGCGCGAGATGACTGGCTGTCCCTCGCAAGACATCTGTTGGCCCAACATGGATGCATATGCGGATGCAAACGGTGTGCACCATGACTCGCCCCAGCAGTGTGCTCGGGCTCCTCACTTCGTCTGGGCTTCAAGCGGAACTGCGCAACCCCCTTGGACATACCAACATGACTGCGATGGGCGGCCGAAACCGATACCGAATCGGATCGATCTCGGATCGGCAGGGACTGTGCCAGGACTCCCTGCCCGCGTCGTCGTCGTCGTCGTCGTCCCCCTTCGGGGTCGGCGGAACTAGCCGAAAGGCCTTCGCAGTATCGGCATAGAATCGGATCGGGCGGCCGAAATTGATATCGAATGGACTCGATGGGATCGATGGGATCGATATGGGATCGATGGGATCGGCCGAAATCGGATGAGATCGATATGGAATCGAATGGGATCGATGCTGAGAAAATCTCTAAGCATTCCCCGAAGACTCGGACAACGTCTCAGAAGACACGAGGGCTTCTGAGAAGTCCCGCCGCCTTCTGAGAAGGCCCTCTCTGGAACGCACAGAGACATACTTATACTATCTGCCCTCCTTGGAGGCGCGTGTCCGACCCGAAGACATAGTATACCCATCTTGTAGTAGCTCGTTTCCCGAGCGGCGTGGCCAGAAAGCGCCCGCCACGACGCATATACTGCAAGAATTCTCGGTGCGCGCGTCGCCCCTGGGGGGGCGACGCACATATAGTGTAAGTAATTATGTTGGGGTGACGCCGACTCTCCTTCTCACTTCCTTTCCCCCCCCCGCTCGCCGCCGCACAGTTCGACGGGCTCTTTTACTTCCGCCGCCTCCCTCCCGCCTTCCGCCGCCGGGCGGCGCCCTCGTCGTCCTTCCGCCCGCTCCTGCTTGCCTTCCGCCGCCGCCGTCCGCAGAGGAGATGTCAGTGCACCGGCCTTGCAGAGGTGCTGCAGCGGATTTCTGCGTGGACTTCTGCGTGGATGTTTGCCCGAAGCGGCGAGCGAAAAACGAAGTGAATGTCGCGTGGATTCTGTTTGGTCCTCCTTCCTGGCCAAAAACAATCCGCGCGAAATTCACCTCGAAATCTGGAACGAGATTCTCCAGGACACCCCGGGCCCATCCTGTCGATTTCCGAACGACATCCGCTCTGCGATGTTGGCGCGAGGAGAGATACCAGCACCTTCGATCCTCAAAGTCGAGGCCCTTTCGGCACCGACTCACGTCCCCTGAGGTCCGACACCGCGAAGAAAATGCATTTGGAGTCCCGAAACAGTGCGGTGACGGACCGTGCGGTGGCCTCGAAATCCCCCAAAACCTCACCGCATGGCCCGTCACCGCACGGTCTTGGGACCCCGCAGGCGCCTGTCGCCCGAGACGTCCCCAGAGAGGGCCTCGAGTCCCAAAACCGTGAGGTGACCCCGAATCCCCACCGACTCACCACACGGTGTGGTCACCGCCGTTTGGGGGCCCCGGCATGCAGCGTCCTGAAGGATTGCCGCCGGAGCCCCTCAGGCTTAGGACGGGCATGTCCCCGTACAGGCGGATCTCGGACGAAAAATGCAAAAATACCCTACAAATATTCAAAGCATGCTCAAACATGGTTTTAAAAAATTATATATATATATATATATATATATACATACATACATACATACATAAATCGTCCCCGTATGTTTCACTATATTCTCCCTGTACAGGGACAGGCCCGCCTTCACCTCAGGCCCCAGTGTTTCTTTGCGCGGCATCCGTCGACCTGGGCCGCTCCTCCTCGCCCCTCCCTCCTCCTCCTCCTCCTCCTCCTCCTCCTCCTCCTCTCTCCTCCTCCTCCTCCTCCTCCTCCTCCTCCTCCTCCTCCTCCTCCTCCTCCTCCTCCTCCTCCTCCTCCTCCTCCTCCTCCTCCTCCTCCTCTCCTCTCTCCTCCTCATCCTCCTTCCTCCTCCTCCCTCCTCCTCCTCCTCCTCCTCCTCCGCCTCCTCCTCCTCCCCCTCCTCCCCCTCCTCCTCCTCGCCCTTCCCGGAGGAGGCCTACTGCGACGGGGGTGCCAACAACAGCCCCCCGCGGCGCGGGGCCCGAGACGCGGCGCGGGACGCCCGGCGCGGCAAGACTGCGACGCCCCGCTGTCGGGCGGCGGCGTCCGCGGCGGCCACGGCGTCGGCGGAGGGCCCGCCCGGAGCTACAGGGCCGTTTTTGATACATAGGTTTTTTTCAAAATATTGGATTTCAACACATGATTGATTTAGGATTAACTATATGCATGAACTCATCGTTGATTTTAATACTAAATCCCTGCATTTGTCATTCATGATCCGCACGCGGAGCATGTATTGAAAACGGCACCGTAGGGCGTGTCCCCCTACAGGCGAATTCTGGAGGAAAGCTGAAAGAATATTCCGAAAATACTACTCGGAAATACCAGAGAACTACCAAAAAAAGTCCCCGTACTATTGTGGGACTATGTTTGAATCTTCCCCCTGTAGAGGGACGGGCCCAATAAAGCTAGCAGCGCCCAGCGCCGGGGTGGATGCGACAGCGACAAGCACGGCGGCGGCGGCCCTGGCCACGGCGTCGGCGTGGGCCGTCAGACGGCCCACGAAAGCCTCAAGACGGCCCAAAACGACGCCAGGACGGCCGAAGAGAGCGCCCAAACAACCCAGCGATAACACCGACACAATCCAGCAAGGCCCCGCGGCCACCAAGAGGACACCAGATGGCCTCCAAAAGACTCGCTGCTTGAAGACTGTAGGGGAACAAAAAGTGGCTTCCGGCGCCGCCCCTGGCGCGCGAAGCGCGCCAGGGGCGGCGCCGGAAGCGCCGCTGGGGGGTCCCAGCGCCGATCCGAGAAATCCGCGCGGACCTCCGCGTTGATATGTTTGTGCCACTTTTTGTCCCCCTATAAACGCATCAACTTGGGGGGCGGAAAGATACGGTTACGTGTTGTCCCCGGACCTCTCCTGGGGTGCGTTCTGGCGAGAATTTCGAGGCGAACCCAGCGGTGACAACGAGGATTCCCCAGGAGGACCAGAAAAGGCCGAAAACGAAGGGGGACAACACGTATCCGTACACCCTGCGGAATGCTTAAGAAATCATGGGCTAAGAAATTCACAGTCTCAGAACTTGAATAAAACCCAGAACTTCTATCCAAATCTTGGGATTTACATTGAAAAGTTAAGAATCATCGAGATTCTGGACGAAAACTTGGGTTTTCTTCAGCATCGCCTAAGGTGTATCTTTTTCTCCCCAGATCAGCATATCACCTCTCGGAGGTCCGAGCCCGGAACCTCCTGGCTCGGGCCACGACCGGCCCCTCGACAGAAGGCCTCCAGACTGCCCGCGACGCCCGCTGCTCGGCCCCGCCCCCGAAGACAGAGAGTGTCTGGGGAGGAGGAGGAGGAGGAGGAGGAGGAGGAGGAAGACGAGGAGGAGGAGGAGGAGGAGGAGGAGGAGGAGGAGAACGAGGGGGGAGAGAAGGCCGCCGCGGCGGCGGCGGCCGCGGCGGCGGCGGCCCCCCTCCGAGCGGGGCTTAATGGGGGGGGTCACAAACGGAGGGGGTCGTAAACGGTCCCCTCTCGTGCCCCTTTCGGGCTCCTCCGGAGCCCCAGGGGGCTCGTTCAGGTACCCTTTGGGTACCTTTTCGGACCACCCTCGCCACCCCCCCATTCATGACCCCCCCACTACGTGACGCCCAGAGGGCTTCTTAGAAGCACCCCTGCTTCTTAGAAGGCGCGGGCCTTCTCTATAGATGTAAGGCCGGCGCCTTCTGAGAAGCAGCCTCCTTCTGAGAAGCCCTCCCCCCTCCCCCCACCCCCTTTTACGCGGCGCCCAACCCCTCCCGGAGCGGGCAGCGCCGGGGGGCGGCTGCTGGGCGCAGAGGCGCCAGATACGGCGCAGCTGCCGGCGGAACTCGCGGTCCGGGTGCGAGCGGCGGCCTCGTCGGCCCCCCAAAGGGGGGAGGCTCGGAGGTGGGCACCAGCACCAGTACAGTCGGGGCGTTGACCTAAGGAACCCCAAATAAGGAACGAGGCCCCTTTTTTCCATAAGTTCAACTTCGATTCCCAATCGAAAACATAAGGAACACCTGAGGCAAGCTGCGAAACACTTAAGGAACGCGGAGCCCCTCCCCAACGAAAAGGGTTCCTTCTTCAGGGCCTCGACTGTACCGGCGGCGCCCTCCACCGAGGGAAAACGATCCCGATCTCGGGGATGGTGGCACGGCCCGGGCTTCGTGAGCGGCCGAAGGATTAGCACCAACACCCAAATCTAGGGCCACCTTCCCCAAGCAAAGACGCCCCCCGATGGCCACTTGGAAGAACAGCACGGGACAACAACGAAGTACATCTGCTCCTGCCGCTGGGAAGGATTTTTGGAGAGGCCGACCCAAAGAAGTTCAATGGCGACGATGACGCCCACGAGCAGGTGGAACCCAATTCAGAAACAATCGTCCATGGCACTACTGTGTGACGCCCCCCCCCAGGTTTCTCTTAATCGTCATCGCACACGCGGGCAATGGAGGCGTGATCAATCAACATCGAATGAGGAAATGGGATCGTGCGTTGTACCAGGCTGCGTCGGCACGGAATCGTAATCGAATTGGATCGGCCGCGACACGACGCGCAATGACGTCATCGGGCCGCATCGGATCGTCGGAATATCGGAATCGAATCGATCGAGCCAGCTGGCATCGAGATCGAAGCGGATCGACTGGATCGATGATCGAAGGGGCCCTGGGGTTAGGTCGGGCCTGTCCCCCTACAAGGGGATTTTGAACGACAAATTAAAAAATGTCAAACAATACTCACAAAATGCTCACAACTACTCCAACAAACAAAACAAAAAAAAACGTCCCCTGACTACTGTGTAAACTATTTTTGGATATTCCTTCTGTAGAGGGACAGGCCCGACTTACGCTTAGCACCCCCCCTTTTCCTCCATCAGCACAGATACACGTGACAACTGGCCTCCTGCAGCTCGGACAGGGCTCGTCTTCAGCGAGGCTCCTGTCCAAGAGCCCTCGTGACTCTCAGGATGTTTCACTGGGCCGCAGAAATCCTGAATGACCCCTTCTCTCAGGAATCCAGAAGAACTCAAGAATCCAAGGAAACCAGCGGAAACCGGATGAATCCTCGGTGATCTTGTGGAATCCGAAGGACATCTGCAAGATTGCGAGTGGGTTTCCCCAGTAATCGTTAAGAACTCGGAGGAATCATCAAGAATCCGATGGAGTCAATAAAATTTACAAGGGCCTTAACAATATGCACGAATCCTGGGTATTCCTAAATCCTCCGATATCTGCCTGGATCTTGAGGAATCCTGGCGATCCCGGAGAAATCTTCAAGAAAATTCGGGAATCCATCGCTTGCGCTCCCTGAAGACGGCGAGGTCCACCAGCTCATGGCCCTGGTGAGATACGGCCAGTTCGATGTCGCGGTTGATCCCCTGGTCTTGTACTCCAGTGGGCATCTGAGGCGAGATGGCGATGCAGTCCAGTCTGCGCTCCCTGCGCTTGCCGCCCTTGGCCGCGCAGCTCCACGCGGCGCACTTGTTGCCTCTGGAAGGGAAGGGGGGGGCGCGTTGGGGAGGCAGACGCCGACCGCGGAGGAGAAGCCTCGTAGGCATGCGCCTGCGCGGTTCTCGTCGACCGCGCCGCAAGGCCCGATGGCCTCCGCGCCGATGCTGCCGACCCTCGCGCTGGCGCCCATGAGACACACTTGTCGCGCGGCGGGCAGTGGCCTCGTCTTCAGCAATGTCAATGTAGCTTGCCACCATTGGTTGCACGCGGCGGGAGGTGCTCCGCTGCGCGGAGCATGGCCCGCGAAGATGTCGGCGCGGAACCTCGTGGACCTGATGCTGGCCAAGAGCCAGCGGGGGCCCGTGAACAGGATGGCCACGTTGCCGTCGCAGAGCGGCGCGCCCCCCCCCCCCGCCCTTCCCCTCCGCAGCGCTGCCTTGATGTTGACCCAGAGGGGGGCCCCGAGCTGCCCTTCGGACGCGGCGGCAGCATGATAGATGCGGTAGTCGCCAACTCTGATCGGGGAGTCCTCCGGGGCTCGCGTGTCTTGGGCGCCGATGATGAAGCGGCACCCGAAGAGGCCGAACTGGCCCGCCAGCATGCGCACCCTGCCCGGGATCACCACCCCTTGCGAAGGCTTTGGCTTTGCCCTCTTGCTCCTCGGCGGGGTCTAGCGCGAGGACATTGGCCACGGCGAGCTTGAGCAATAAGCTAGTTGACAGCGGCCCCCTTCCCACCCCTGCAGGGGCCCTGGACATTCGGCTTTCCAGAAACTGCCTAAGCCCGTGGACCGACGGGCCCAACTTGGGGGCCTCACCTCCAGGGGAGGGGAACTGCGAGCGGACGTTTGAGGGGGCAGCCGCTAGCCATAGCCAGTGGTGGGCGAACAGCTGGTCCCAGACCTGGTCGCTGCACGGGGCCTTCCTACGCTGCCACCCCTGGCGGGCGTCGCGACGGCGTCCGCGAGCTCGCTCTACCCGTCGGCCACGTGGCCCGGCACGCGCTGCCAGTCGTAGACGGCGATGTGCCTCAGGACCTCAGCGAGGCCGTCAACGGCGGTGGAGCACGGCCTGCAAGTAGCCAGGGGGGCGCCTCCCTGCGCGATGTCCACTACGCACTGGCAGTCGGTGCGCGCGACGATCTGCGGGAAGCCCCCCTCTTCCTCCACGCCGAGGGCGCGGTGCAGCTGCAGCGACCACGGCGCAGCAACTATCCCCGCGCAGAGCTCGGCCGCCACTGAGGGCTGGTGAAAAAGGTCGGCAAGCCTTGGCATGGCTTGTCCAAGATACCCGAGCACGGAGCGCTTTCACTGCACGTCCGTGGCGACGACAACAAAAGCCCAGGACGGGGGCCTAGTCACGTCTCCTCCTGCGGCCCCGCCTGAGCCATCCGCGCAGACGTCGAGGCGCGCGCGCCGCCGCGGCATCTGCGGAGACCGGTCGGCGCTGCAGTCTGCAATCAGCATCCGCGTGGCCGAGTGGAAGGAGTACCCCAGGCTGGGCCCGCCGTCGAGCTCGGTGAGTTGGACTGGCCACGCCGCTCGCAGCGCATGCAGCGCCTTTTGGCCGTCTGGCAGGGGCGCCGTTCGCACGGGCCGCCCTCGGCGTGGAAGAGCTGGCAGCGGCACTGCCGGCGGCGCAGGGGCCCCGCCACCCTCGTCGCAAGCCGCGCGGGCTGCGGCGGGGCCCCGCAAACGTCAAAGCTGCGCACCATCCTCGGCCGCTGCGGCCGCTCCCGAGGCGGCCGCCTCTCCTGCCACTGATGCTGCGGCTCCAGCATCGCCCTTGTCTACCGGGCTGCGGCTGCGAATCTTGCTGCGCCCCTCCCCAGCTGCCGTGCGTCTTCCCGACCTGGAGCATGTTCTGCATCTGCGCCCTGGCCGCTGCGGCCTTGGCCTCGGCCCCCTCTGCGGCTTCCTTCTCTGCCTCCAACTTGGCTGCTTTGGCTGCCTCCTCTCCCCCTGCGCCCTTGGGCCCCTCGGCCGCGGCGGCGGCTGGCGGTTGCGCTGCCGCTGGCACGCTCTTGGTCTGCTCCAGGACGGCCATGAGCTCTGCTGTGCGCTGTGACATCTCGCCGATATGCGTCTCCATCGCTGCCATGCGGCTCTGCTGCCTCGCCTGAGCTGCGGCACTGCTGGAGGAGGCAGACGCGACGGGGTCTCCTGGCTGGCAGTCGTCCATGCACCCGCTCTCGTTATAGGGGTCGATGGCGATGCTGCTGATCTCGCCCCCCTCTCGTCGCTGTCTGAGATGCCTTCCGTCCAGGGGCTGGCCTTGGGTCCTGGCTGCGGGGCGGCAGCAGCATGGGGGTTGGTGCATGCGCAAAAGTCGTTCATCTGCTGCCTCTGGCTGAGAAGTGCCAGGCGTGCTGCAGGTCCTCCTGGGCATTCTTGGCGTCGAGCACCGCGGCCTTCAGCTTCATCTGTGCAGCCAGTTTTGTGTCCCGAGCGGTAGTGGGCACCTTCTTGGCCTTGTACACGTAGGCTTCTTGGCGCTCCTGTCTCTGCTCCAGGTCCTTGGCCATGATGTCCTGGCAGAGGGTGGCGGCGCACTCTCGCTCGGCCTGGTCCAACCTCTTCCACTCAGGCTCTGGCAGTCCTCTGATCGCTCTGACTCTGCCCTCTGCTGCGAGCAGAACCGTGCGCAGGGACTCTCGAAACGGTTCGAGACCAGCGGCAAGCGGGGGCGGCTGCACCCACGCCTTGTGCTTCTTGGCCTCCACGGGAGGTAGTGGCAGGATGCCCATTGGGCCCTTGTCCGCTGCCTGCAGCGACGTCCATGGCGGCCCCTTCTGGCTCCATGGAGCTTGGCTGCGTTCACCTCCGCCACGCTGGCGGCTGCGCTGCCTCGGGATGCCGTCTCCCTTCTACGGCGGCAGCGACCTTTTCTTCTCCCCGCAGTTTCCGCAGGTGGTGTGTCGCAGCCCATGCAGGTCCACGATGTCGTTCCGTCGCCTTGCTTCGGGGCAGACGACGATGTTCCTTTCTTGTCGCCCTTGGCCATGGCGGCAGTTGTTGGCTGCTGTGGTGACTGGCCAGCAGGTCCGCGGCGGCGCCCAGACGCAGCAACGTGCGAGCCCAGGCTCGCTGCCGCCGCTGGCGCCGGTGCCAGGCGGGACCAGGGGCGCGGAGGGCCGCGCCATCCGTGGCCGCGCGCGCTCTCGCGGTCGTCGCTGCAACTGGTGCAGCACCCAAGGCGACACGCCTCGAGCTGTCGCGGCGGCTGGAGGAGGAGGGAGGAGGGAGGAGGAGGGAGGATGATGATGAGGAGGAGGAGGACGAGGGGGAGGAGGAAAAGGAGGAGGGAGGAGGGAGGAGGAGGAGCAGGAGGAGGAGGAGACGAGAGGAGGGAGGGAGGAGAGGGAGGAGGAGGAGGAAGGAGGAGGAGGAGGAGGAGGGAGAGGAGGAGGAGAGGAGGAGGAGGAGGGGAGGAGGAGGAGGAGGCAGGAGGAGGAGGAGGAGGAGGAGGAGGAGGAGGAGGAGGAGGAGGGGGAGGAGGAGGGGGAGGAGGAGATCCCAGCAGCACCCGACGGGCCCACGCTCCCCCGGCGCGGCGGCGGCCTGCCGGCCCGCTGGCGCCGCTGCCCCCGCCCGCCCCGGCGGCCAGGGCGCCGGCGAACAGCCCCCCGGCCGCGGCGCCGAGGAGGCCGCCGGCCGCGGAGGCGGCCTGCTGCTCCTCGCGGGTCGACGGGGGGGGACACGGCCACACGGACGAGGAGGAGGACGAAGAGGAGGACGAGGAGCAGGAGGAGGAGGAGGAGGAGGAGGAGGAGGAGCAGGAGGACGAGGAGGAGACGGGGGAGGAGGAGGAGGAGGAGGAGGAGGAGGAGGAGGAGGAGGAGGAGGAGGAGGAGGAGGAGGAGGAGAGGAGGAGGGGGACGAGGAGGAGGAGGAAAGGAGGAGGGGAGGGGGAGGAGAAGGAGGGGGTGGGGCCTTCGGGCCCCCAGGACCGTGCGGCGGCGGGCCCCAGGACCGTGTGGTGACGGGGCCCTGAGACCCTGGCGACTCAGCCTTTTCGAGCCTGGCGCTTTCGTAAGTAATTCGGGGCCCCCGGGACCCTCACGGATCGATGCGGCTCGAAGAAGGGTGCAGGAAGATGGGGTCTACGGCTCCAGGATCGATTTCTCACGGCATCTCAACTTGTTTGAGACGTCGGATCTCAGGGGGTGGGGCCTGCGGGCCCCCAGGACCGTGCGGTGACGGGCCTCCTCCTCCTCCTCCTCCTCCTCCTCATCCTCCTCCTCCTCCTCTCAACTCCTCCTCCTCCTCCTCCTCCTCCTCCTCCTCCTCCTCCTCCTCCTCCTCCTCCTCCTCCTCCTCCTCCTCCTCCTCCTCCTCCTCCCACTCCTCCTCCTCTGGTGCCTGGACAAAAGTGTCCACATCTATGGCGGTAAGGCGATGCAACATGATAACAACCACAACTGCGAAATGCCCTTGCTTCGCAAAGCATCCCTCCCCCACTAGCCCAAAACTGAAGTGTCCACATGTTGTCCCTGGCCTTTGGCCTACGCCCAAGCCCGTCAACTTCATATAATATCGGGGGAAGAGGAGATACATCTCAGTCCGATGCGCTTTGATAACTCAAGGTGTTGGCGAGACACGTGTGGACACTTTTAGTCCACCCACCGTCCTCCTCCTCCTCCTCCCTCCCTCCTCCTTCCTCCCTCCTCCTCCTCCTGCCTCCTGCTTCCTGCACCTTCCTCCTCCTTCCTCTTTCTCCTCATCCTCCTCCTCCTCCTCCTCCCTCCTCCTCCTCCTCCTCCTCCTCCTCTCCTCTCCTCCTCTCCTCCTCCTCCTCCTCCTCCTCCTCCTCCTTCCTCTCCTCCTCCTCCTTCCTCCCTCCTGCTTCCTCCTGCTCCGTCATCATCCTACGAATCCTCCTCCTCGTCCTCCTCCTCCTCAGCCATGGTGACGGCGCCCTTCGGGGCGGACGCCCCGAGGGGAGCCTCACCAACCACAGGCTCGAACCACATTCTCTTCCCTCCTCCCTCCTCCTTCCTCCCTCCTCCCTCCTCCTCCCTCATCCCTCCTCCTCTCTCCCCCTCCTCCTCCTCCCTCCGCCTCCGCCTCCGTCAACTCATCCCTCCTCCCCCCCTTCCTCCTCCTGATCTCTCCTCCTCCTCTCCTCCTCCTCCTCCTCCTCCTCCTCCTCCTCATGCTCCTCCTCCTACTTCTCCTGCTCCTCCTCCGCCTCGTCCTCCTTGTGGTGACGGACCGCGTGGTGACCTCGGAACCCCCAGCGACCTCACCGCAGAGGTCCGTCGCCGCAGTCACCGGTTCTGGGGCCTCGGCGGCCTCAGTCCCCCCACGGCGTCCTCTGAGAACGGCCGAGTCCCAAAGCCGTGCGGTGACCCTAAATCCCCACTGACAAACCACGCGGTGTGGTCACCACACCGCTTGGGGACCCCCGAAAGCCGAGGTAGCGGCTGTAATGTGTTGGGCTGGATCCTGCCCCGATGTAGTATGTGATACTCTGTTCTGTGATGTTGTGATCTCGACGGGCCAGCGTGACATCGCGACGCCTGCCACTTCCACAATGTTCTATGTATCAACGTTATACCATGTGATGCTCTATTAAACGCCCGCTATGTTCTCGACGGGCCGGCGTGGCGTCATGACGCCTGGGCGACGCCGTGGAGTGGTAGCTACTGCATGCGTGATGTTGAGCTGTAGTGTGAGTGTGCGTGTGCGTGGTAGGATTATGCCCCAATGTAATATGTGACACTCTGTTCTGTGGTGTTCTGATATCGACGGGCAGGCGTGACGCCGTGACGCTTGACACGATAGATACATCGTCGAATCGCTCATTGCTGTGACTATTGGCTCATGTGGACAGACTGACCAACATGTAGGTACGGTGCGTTATGTTGTGATATCCCTCAGCCCTTCCGTTATCTCCTCCGTTAAAATATGCTCTGTCATGCTCGCTTCTGCCACCATATGCATTGGTATGCTACGTTATGCTCTGGTCTCTGGCACCATGTTAGAACATGATATATTTGTCAAACTATGTTATGATATGCTCCTCTGTTCGGAGATGCCGTTGACGGCTCAGCTCGGTATAGCATAGTATGGTGAGCGTCTCTTTATTCGGCGTTTCGACATTGGGCAGCAAGGGGGGGGGAAGGGGGGGGTCTGGCTCCACACCTCTGCTTGGTGCGACTGATTGCAAGAGTGCGGCCTCTGGGGGAGACTCCACCCGCTCGAAACAGGCGCCAAAAAACAGCCAAGATCTACTCCATGGGGGGGGGAGAAGGGGGGTTGGGGGCCCGCGCCGATCAGCAAAACAATGAATAAAAAAACGATCACATGATATGCTCTGTTGGTATTTTTTGCTGTCCTGTTCTGTCGTGATACTGCTCACCACAATTGCACAACCGCTGCTTCTGGATAAAAAAACGGTTCAACCGTGTTCCATGTAGTCACGCTTTTCATGGTATGGTTTAGTATGTCCTGCTGTGTGTTCGACGGGACGGCGTGACGTCGTGACGCCTGTGATATTAGATGCGTCCTCTGTTATGATGTCCCTCTTCACTGTTATATGTCTCTTCTGATTGCGTATGGTATGTTATGATCACCTCTGTCACCATATGGTTTGAGATGTTATGGCATGGCCTGCTCTATGGCACTATGGCACGACATGGTATGGTATGCCTAGATATGTTATACTATGCTCGGTTCCGTGACGTTGCTGACAACACGGAACAATATAGTATGCTTTGTTCCGTGATGCGGTTGACAGCTTGGCTTACTATTACTATCAAGGTGTGCTACAGTATGCTCGGTTATGTCATGTTATGTTGTTATGTCGTCGTCTGCCCTGTCATGGTATGCTCTGGTATGCTCTGTGATGTTATGCTTGTTGACGGTTCGGCCCTGCATAGTACGTTATGATATGCTCTGCTTGTGTGTGTCGCTATGCTCTGCTGTCGTGTTATAATATGGCCTGTGATGCTGTGTCATGAGATGATATGTTACATCAAGGTGTGGTATGTTATCCTCGATTATGTTGTGCTATGTCGTGTCATGTCTTCTCGAATGTCATGTTCTGGTCCGGTACTTTATGTGAGGATGCTGTTATCTGTGTTGTCATGACATTGCTATGGTATGGTCTGGAATGCTATGTTATGCTCGTGTTCTGTTATGTTGTGTCATGTTGTGTTCTGTCGGGTTCGTCGTCGCTATGCTCTGCTGTCGTGGTATGAGGTGTTATATGATTCGGTGTCATGGTAAGATATGTTCTGTCAAGGTGTGTATGTTAGGCTCGGCTATGTTCTCTTATAGTGTGGTATGACGTCTTGTTTTCTGCCATGGCATGCTCTGTCATGTTCTATGATGTTATGTTTGTTGACGGCTCGGCTCTGCATAGTACGTGATGATCTGCGCTGCTAGTATGTGCTGGTATGCTCTGCTGTCGTGTTATGATATGGTCTGCGTTGCTGTGGCATGATACGATATGGTATGTCAAGGCGTGATATGATAAAATCGGTTAGTTTATGGGATGTTGTGTTATGTCGTCTTGTGTTATGTCATGTTCTGCTCTGGTATGTTATGTGATGTTATGGTATGCTCTATGTTGTCATGGCATTGCTATGTTATGTTATGTCATGCTCTGTCATGCTCGTAGTCTGTTATGTCATGTTATGTTGTGTCATGTTGCGTTCTGTCGTGTTCGTCGTCGCTATGCGCTGCTGTCGTGTTATGATATGTTCTGTGATGCTGTGTCATGACATGGTACTATGTCAAGGTGTGTCATGGTATGCTCGGTTATGTTACATGATGCTGTGTTCTGTCGTGTTCGTCAAGGGCGCGAGGCGGGATCCTCGGGACAACTTGGGGTCTGGCGACCGCGGTATGCAGAGTGGGGTTGGGCGGGCGCAAGGCTGGACACCTGGAATACTCGCGATTCCCGGGACAACTTGGGGTCTGGCGGCCGCGGTATGCAGGGTGGGGTTGGCCAGGGGGGCCCGTTCTTGAAATCTAACAGCCTCAACCTGCTGGGTGGGGAAAAACAGCGTGCTTACAACATAACGCCGATACAAGCAAGCAAGACTGCCTCAATCGGACGCGTTCTAAGAACATCTCGGGCAAACCACAACATGTTCTTAGAACGTTCGTTGGTGGGCCTAGCAGGCACGTCCTGACGCTTCTAATGGGCATGTGTTCCACCACCACCACAACCCTAAGGTGGAGGGGGGAAGGAGGTGGAGAACGAGTAGGAGGAGGACGAGGAGGAGGAGGAGGAGGAGGAGGAGGAGGGGGACCCCCTTCCCCTAGAACTTATGGTGGTGGTGGTGGTGGTGGAAAACAAGCCCATCCGCAGCGCCACTGCCTGAAGCCATCCGACGTGGTTTCTCCGCAGCGCGAGGCTGTCTGGGGACGCGGCGGCCTCCACTGCTCGCCAGGCGCGGCGCGGCGTCACTGCCTCGAGGCCTCCTGGACGACGAGCGACGTCGAGCGACGGCGTAGACGTCGACGTCGACGACGACGACGACGGCGACGACGACGATGAGCGACCAGCGACGACGACGACGACGACGACGGCGACGAGCGACGAAGACAGCGACGACGACGACGACGACGAGCGACGAGCGACGACGACGGCTCGCGGCTCCTCATTGCACCGGCCTTGCAAGGACGTGCTGCAGCGGATTTCTGCGCGGATTTCTGCCCGAAACGGCGCGTGAAAAACGAAAATAATTTCGCGTGGATGTTTGTTTAGTCTTCATATTTGACCCAAAACAATCTCACGAAATTCACCTCGAAATCCGGAACGAACTTCTCCGGGGCACTCCGGGCCCATCCTATCGTTTTCCGAACGAAATCCGCTCTGCGATGTTGGCGCGATGACGGCTCCTCGGGCAGGAGGCACCAGTCCAGGGCCAGCAGCAGCCGCTTCGAGCGACGACGACGAGCGACGAGCGACGAGCGACGACGACGAGCGACGGCGACAAAGACGAGCGACCAGCGACGACGACGACGAGCGGCGGCGACGAAGACGAGCGACGGGCGACGACGACGAAGACGAGCGACGAGCGACGGGCGAAGACGACGAAGACGAGCGACGGACGACGAGCGACGACGACGACGAGCGACGGGCGACGAGCCGGCGCGCGGCTCCTCGAGCAGCAAGCACCAGTCCAGGGCCAGCAGCAGCTGCTTCGCCGCGGCCGCCAGGCCCACCCCGGGCGCCGCGGTCAGCGGGGCGCACCTCGCGGCGGGGTCTTTCGGGGGCGGCCAGCAGGGGGACGTCCAGGAGGGGGGAGGGGGAGGAGGAGGAGGAGGAGGAGGAGGAGGAGGAGGAGGAGGAGGAGGAGGAGGAGGAGGAGGAGGCCCCAGCGGAGGAGGAGGAGCGGGAGCGGGAGCGGGAAGACGCCGCTGGCAATCGACGGGGGGCGCAAATCATGGCCAGCGGCACGTGCGGGGCCCAGGGGGAGGGCCAGGGACGTAATGAAATAAGCAGAGGCACCATGACATCCGAAGGAAAATCATGGCCCACGCCATGATGTCCACCACCCCCCATCATCCCCCTCCCCTCTTTGCCGCCCCGAAATCTGCGCGAGCAGCGCGCGCCGCGGCCTCCAGAGATGAGCACCAACCAGACCACCCCAACCGAACCCGAAGACCTCAATTTTCGGGTTGGGCGGGGACGGATTCCACATGTGTTTTTGTTCAAGCCTCCCCCGCGCACCCCCCCCCTTACCCGTGGAGGGAAAAGACTATTTGGGAGCTGTCTCTCCGTGTATGTATATTTCTCTCTCTCTCTCTCTCTCTCTCTCTCTTTGTTGTTCTCTCTCTCTCTCTCTTTCTCTCTCTCTCTCTCTCTCTCTCTCTCTCTCTCTCTCTCTCTCTCTTTCTCCCTATAGATTCCTCTGTCTCTCTCTCTCTCTCTCTCTCTATATATATGGGTGTCTCTCTCTCTCTCTTTCTCTCTCTCTCTCTCTCTTTCTCTCTCTCTCTCTCTCTCTCTCTCTCTCTATCTCTCTCTCTCTCTCTATGGTTTAAGCTATCTCTCTCTCTCTCTGTCCCTCTCTTTCGTTCTCTCTCAATGTGTTTGTATTGTGTTGGTATGTTCTCTGTTTCTCTCTCTCTCTCTCTCGCTCTCTCTCTCTCTCTCTCTTTCTCTCTCTCTCTCTCTCTCTCTCTCTCTCTCTCTCTCTCTCTCTCCCTATATATATATATAGGAACCCCAAAACGGATGGGACCACTCCTAATAGAGCCTGGATTACCCCATTTTCATATTATTATTAAGTTTTTAAAATTTGGACTAAAGATTCAAGACACATCTTAAAGAGTCCTGTCAAAGGTGGAGCGACCTCTGACAGGATTCGGTCGAGGATGGGGCCACACAAGGGATGGACCCACCTCTGATTGAATCCTCTCATATGATCCCACTGGTGATGTTGCACCTTCCAACACAGTCCTTTTAGAGATGGAGCAAGCTCTGACAGCATCCTACTAGGGATGCGCCCATAATCTAATCGTACGAACTAAGACGCCACCTAGAATAAAATCCGATCGGGGGATAGAGGCACTTGTCATCGAATCCTATTAAGAATGGCTTCTCCTCTACCAGAATCCTCGCATGGTTGGAGCCACCTGCAGTAACATCAGATCAGGGATGGAGACACCTCTAATGTAATCCGATTAGGGGGGCCCTATCTAATTCAGCCCTATTCGACGTGGGCACACCTCTAACAGGATCTTAATATTAAAAATCAGTTCGGTATTGGAGCAAGTCTTAAAGAACATACAACGAATGAAGGACTCACATGTGTTAGAATCCAAGTAGCGGTGGGACCACCTCTAAAAGAATACTGCGAAGGAGGGAGCCACGTGTACAAACAAACATCCATTCAAGGTGGTCCACCGCTTCTAGAATCCCAATAGAAGTGGGCCCACCTCCAAAAGAAACCGATTCATATTGAAGCCAATATGTTTAAAAAAACAAAAGAGGGTCCACCTCCATTCGGATCCTACTGGGAAATGGAAGCACCTCTAATAAAAACCCAAGTCCTTGGGCCCACATGAAGCTATCCACTGCGATGCCGCGCGAATCCCTGCTGGCCGCTTGCCTCTGCTAAGCGTGGGTAATTTCTGCCAGCCGCCGGCCCGGCCCAGCTAAGCCTTGATAGGCCCTACCAAGCCCTGCTAGCCCCTGGCATGCCCTGCTGAGACCTGCCAATGTGTGCTAACACCTGCTCGCTATGCTAAGATCTGCTGGCACCTCGATGACCCCCTAAAACGCGCGATGCCTGCTAAGCCATGCGGAGCCACAGCATGTATAACATCATCAAGGACGAACACATTGCGAACGAAAGCCTACCAGGGGTGGATCCACCCCTAAAGATGAAGCCATATGTGAGATGACCTGATCAAGGAAGGACCCAGCTCGTATAGACACCCATGAGGGTGGATCCATCTCTAATGGGATCGTGTTATGGGCGGGGTCACGTGTCATTGAATTGCATGCAGTGTGGCTTCACTCCAATGAAATCCTAATAGAGGCGGGTCCACCTCCAAAGGATTCCACGAAAGGGTGGAAGCACCTGGAGTATAATCGTATGTGATGTGGGCACACTTCGATTTGAATCCTACGGGGGGCGACACGTCTAATGGAATCATTTCTAAGCCCTGCTCAGCCCCTGCCAATCGCTGCTACGCCTTGCCCCGCTGAGCCTCGCTAGCCACTGCGATGCCGTTCTATGCACTGCTGGCCCCTGCTAGGCCCTGCTCGGTCTAGCCACGCCCTGCCAAGAACTGCTAAGCGCGGCTAAGCCCTGCTGGCCCTCTGCTAAGCCTTGATCAGTCCGGCTAGCCACCTGCCATCCCAGCGAAGCCTTGATAAGCCCGACCAAGCCCTTCTAGGCTCTGCTAGCCCCTGGTATACCCCGCTGGGACTTGCCATTGCCCGTAGTTGCTAACATCCGCTGGCATTCCTAAGCTATGTTAGCACCCGAGTAACCTGCCAAGCCCTGAGAAGCCGAAACAAGAAAAATCTCACCAGGGATGAACGCATTGCTCACGAAAGCCTATCAAGGGTGGACCCACCTCTACCAGAAACTGAATACAGAGAAAGCAATATGCAATAAGATCCGAACAAGGAAGGACTCAGCCCTAATGGGATCCCATGAGAGGTGGGCCCACCTCTTCTGGGATCCTGTTATGGACGGGGCCACGGGTAATTGAATTGCATGCAGTGTGTCTTCACCACCCATAGAATCCGACTAGAGCCGGATCCACCCCCAATAAAATTCCATGAAGAATGGAAGCACCTGGAGTATAATCGTATGTGGTGTGGATACGCTTCTATTTGACCCCCATGGGGAACGGAACCACCTCTACTAGGATCCTATCAGGGGTGGATCCACTGCTCATGGAATCCGACTAGAAATTGATGCAATCTACCTGTAGAAAATCTGAATAAAATCCAAGCTGCTTGGGAGACAAGTCTTGTAAGGAATGGAAGTATTTCTACCAAACAGAATTCAATTGGTAAATCTCAAACGAAAAGAACCTCACTGGAAAGTCGCACAACGAGGGTACATCTGGAATTCTCGCAATAGGAATCCAAGTGTAAATCCCCTGCGAAAGAAAACTGCATGTAAAGTCGCTGAAGAGGAACTCGATGTGTAACCCACGCACTAGAAATCGAATTGTAAATCGATCACAAAAAATCCAATTCAAAAGCCGCACAACAAGGATTCGATGCGCAACCCACGCAATAGAAATCAATGTGTAAATCGCCCAAAAAAGAATATTATTGAAATGCCGGAAAAAAATACATGTGCAAACCACATGATAGGAATCAGGTTGTAAATCGCCCACAACAGAATGCCCTTTGAAAAGGAGCCAGACAACTTCTGGACCCTCCGGGAAAAGTTACAACTACAAAAAATATCGACCCCTTTCCGCTTTCGTTTCTTTGTGTCCGCGCCCTCCCCACCCTCGAAAAAAAACATGGACTAGGGGATTGAGTTATGTGTCTTGATGTTTGGAGATCCGACTTCGGGCTTCCACTTGTTAGAAATCCTCGTGTGGGCGATGTACAAACTGATTTCTACTGTGTAGAGTACGATTCGAATCTTTTTGTTGCGCCGCTTTTCAATCGGAATACTCTGTAAGCGGATTACAAACGAAATTTCTACTGTGTAGATTACACCTAGAATCCTTATGTGCGGCTTTTCCATCGGATTTCTTGTGTGGCCGATTTGCCAATAGATTTCTAGTTTAAAGGGTACAGTAAACATAAGAAAAAGCATCGCCCCCTCAACTGTTTTGTGTTACCCCCCGCCCCGGCCCCGAACCCCCCAAAAAAATCCGCCGCCCCCTGTTGATTCATCACAGGGGTGCCTGGCGTGCTAGATTCTTTCGGTTTGGGTTCTTGTTCCAAAAGAACTCCCGCTGGTGCTTCGGCGCGTCCCGCCGGCCACCCGAAAGGATTGCCCAGGATCTTCCAGAGGTTGTTGCCGAGGGTTGTCCTGACCCAGATGGCTCCAAGATGACCCAATATGGCCTCCAAGATGCTTCCAAGACGGCCAAGATGGCTTCCAAGACACCTAAGATGGCCCCAAGATGCCTCCAAGACGGCCCAAGATGTATCCAAGATGGCGCAAGATAGCCTCAAGATGGCCCAAGACGGTCCAAGAGGCCTCCAAGAGGTGCTCCAGGAAGGCCCGAAAGAGGGCAAAATCGTCGAGTCCCCCTTGGTTTTTGAAAGATTGTGGCATTTGCCCCTTTTCAGCTTTCTGACGGCCCAAAACGGCCCAGGAGGCCTCCAAGATCGAGTCAAGATCGTCCAAGAGGCCTCCAAGATGGTCCCACGACGGCCCAGGATGCCCCCAAGTCGGCCCCAAGAGGGCCCCAAGACGGCCCAAAGGCCTCCAAGACGCCCAAGATGGCCTCCAAGAACCCCTGATATGCCTCAAGAGGGCCCCAAGACGACCCAGACAGGCCCCCAAGACGGCTTCCGACGGCGTCAGACAAGCCAGGAACGCCCTAAGACGGCCAAAGAGGCCCCCAAAAAGCCCCCAAAGGCTAAGAAAAACCGTTCAAATGGCCCCCAGGAAGCTCCCAGGAGGCCCTAAGAGTGCCTCAAGAGGCGCCAAAGAGGCCTCCTCTTCCTCCTCCTCCTCCTCCTCCTCCTCCTCCTCCTCCTCCTCGTCCCCTCCTCCTCCTCCTCCTCCTCCTCCTCCTCCTCCTCCTCCTCCTCCTCCTCCTCCTCCTCCTCTCATCCTCTCTCCTCCTCCTTCCTCCTCCTCCTCCTCCCTCCTCCTCTCCCTCCTCCTCCTCCGCTCCTCCTCTCTCCTCCTCCCTCCTCCTCCTCCTCCTCCTCCTCCTCCTCTTCCTCCTCCTCCTCGTTGTTCCTTCCCCTCCTCTTGCTCCCCCATGCGTTCCCCGAAGCCTTTCCAAATCGACTCGGGGAACAACTGGCCCGATAGCCTGGCCAAGCTCTGGCCCAGCTGTCGGCCACAGAGGCGCTTCCAAAGGGGCAGGGGGCGGCGGCGGTGGTTCGCCGTAGGCGTCTTCGATAGAGGGGGCGGTGATTTCCTGTTGTTGTTGTTTTTTTTTTTTTCTGGGGATCCTAAACTTGTTCTGGCCTCCGTTTAAAGAAATTCCTGTTGTGGGCGATTTACCATTTGATGGATTTCCATTGTGTATATGAAATGTAATATCCTTTTGCGCCGCTTTTCAGGAGGATTATATCACAGAAATAGGTACGACGAAGAAGATGGGAGGGTAACGAAACATGAAGAAATGAAAATACACAAACCGAATAGTCAAACAACTTCCAGCAGATTAACATACACCGCGAAAAAGGTTCCCAAATAGTCCCAGATGTCCTTTACCCCCCCCCCTACACTGGGAATGGAAGGCCAATTGGGGCCTTCGGGTCGGGTTGGGGTGGTTTGGTGGGTGGTGACACCCGGCAAGTCCCCAGAGAAGGCCCCCGACGGGCTTCCGACGGGCCTCCGAAGGCCTCAGCAGGCCTCCGAGACGCTGCACTGGCCGTGGGCACGCACCACGACACCAGGGAGTCTCCCCGATGTAAAAGACAAGCACTGTTAGAGTCTTGCTATAAGAAATCTGTGTGCACTCTTGTCGTCGAGCTTTGGGATCTCCTTCCACCTCATCCCTCCTCCCCTCCTCCACTTCCCACCCGTTTTCTCCTCCTCCTCCTCCTCCTCCTCCTCCTCCTCCTTCTGCTCCTCCTCATCCTCCTCCTCCTGGACAGGCCTCCGAGGGCCTCCGCAAGCCTCCGAGACGCTGCACTGGCCGTGGGCACGCACCACGACACCAGGGAGTCTCCCCGATGTAAAAGACAAGCACTGCTAGAGTTTATCCTTCCCCAATCAAGGCTTGCCTCTGTAGGGATCCTAGCGGATTCACATGGTTAGGCGAGGTTCGTCGCCGATTTCGGTGGCCGGTCGGGTGCCCCGGTGCCCGGGGGTGCCCAAAGGTGCCCAAAGGTGCCCGGAGGTGCCGGGGGGTGCCCGGATGCCTGGGTGCCTGGGTGCTCTATCGCCCTATATGGCCCTATAGCCTATCTCGCCCTGATAGCCCTATAGCCCAATAGCCCGTTTGCCCAATAGCCCTGCAGCCCTATAGCCCTTTCGCCTTCTAGCCCAATAGCCCTATAGCCCTATAGCCCAACAGCCCTATAGCCCAATAGCCCTATAGCCCTATAGCCCAATGGCCCTATAGCCCTAAAGCCCTTTTGCCCCATAGCCCTGTAGCCGTATAGCCTGATAGCCTTCTAGCCCTATGGTCCTATAGCCCTATAGCCCCATAGCCCTATAGCCCTAAAACCATTATGATTGGGGCTCTTCTCTGGCATCATGGTATGATTCCTTATTAGGCAGCATCGCGGGCCGTTTCACGATGCTTGAACTCGCTTGCCAGTGAAAAGATCCGACTAAACACTGAGCTCGACTCGAGAACGCCTCGCTGTCACGCCACAGAGCGTGTTCCCAAAAAGGGTCGAAAAGCCTTCCCCCCGACAAGACTAAGAGCGGGGCTAGCACTGTTAGAGTCTTGCTATAAGAATATGTTGGCACTCTTGTCGTCGAGCTTTGGGCCTCCTGAGATGCCCCAAAAGTCTTCTGTGGGTCTCCAGAACCATCGGGGGACAAGAAACTTCCCTGGGGCACCTGCAAGCATGCTGGCTTCTCGTTTGAAATGCGCTCTGCTCTGTGCATGTGTAAAAATCTGCGCTGTGATTTCAGACGACGCCAACGCCGTCACAACTGTCAAGTTGATCACGTGCGCTCCCACATCGTTGCATAATCGCCCGCCTTCTGATCTCCGCCAGCCTCCGGGCGTAGACGCCGTCTGAGGCGTCGCACCACGCCTTGCGTGGGAATGGGCGACGGGAGAACGAAGGCAAGGCCGCAGGGAAGAGGAGGGGCCAGCGCCCTTCACAGCGGGTTGCCCCCGAGGAAAGACTTATACATATACAGATCTGTGAACCACGCGCGCGCAGGTTCGAGAGCAGCCCAAGCCAACCTCACAGGATCGGATGAGGATGGAAATCATCTTGCAAGGATCACCGCATGGGAGCGTACTCCCTCATGGACGCTTCGAGAGTCGCTGCAGAAGGCTCCGGGAAGGCGCGAGAGGCAGCCCCGAGGAGAACGTGAGCGTTTTTTTATGCGGCGCTTCGGCACTGGGCAGAAGGGGGAGGGAGGGATGAGGGGGGGGCCCGGCTCTGGACCTCTGCTTTATGCGACTGTTTGGGGCCGTGCGTCCTATGGGGGAGACTCCACCTGCTCGAAACGGGCGCCAGAAGCAGCCAAGATCTACTCCAAGGGGGCAGGGGGAGGGGCGCGAGGGCCCGCGCCGATCGGCAAGCCAATGGATAAATAAACGATCACAACCCAGGGCAGCCTGAGGTGTGGATGCTCGAGAGTCCGAACAGCCTGAAACAAAACCATGCTGGGAGTCTCTTTGGATGCCTTCGGGGGGGCGCTCTTGGAGGGCTCTCTTGGGTTTCTGGAGGATGGGGCCTCTTCGATTTTGGTTGGGGATCTCCAGATGGCCTTTTGGGACTTCTTTGGGCGCGCATCGAGGGCCTGACAAGGGCTATTGGCGTCTGGGCTCGGAATGTCGAATGGGGTGCACTTGAAAACAATGGATTTGAGGGAATCCATTTTTTTCAAGCTGGGCCTCCTACCATTTAGCGGGGCATAATGTTGGGTGAGAGAGACGGAGGGAGGAAAGAGTGAAGGAGAGATGAGGATGAAAAATGGGGGAGACGGAATCGCATGAGGGAGAAAGAGACAGCGGGGAGTAGGGAGGAACGAGAAAATGAGAAGGAAGTGAAACGGGAGACGCAAGAGAACCAATAGCAAAGGAGAGATCAGGGAGAAAGGGCAACGCGGGATGGGCAAAAGGGAAACGCACTCGGGGGCACGCCAAAACTTGGGACAGGAGGAAACGGAGCGGGGGGCAGACCTTGAACAAAACAATGATTTGAGGGATTTCCCTTGTTTGTCAAGCTGGGTCTCCTACCACATAGTGGAGCAGGATGCAATATTGTACTGCATCTTCGGGAAACCTTGTCTGTCCCGTCGCGCCGACGTCGAATCCATGTAGAATCCGTGTCGAACGAATCGAATCCGTGTCGAATCCACCTCGAATCCGCGTCAAACCCGCGTCGGAATAAAAGAAAAAACGCCCATTTACAGGACAAGAAAATTCCCCCGAAAATGCAAAATACCCAAAATAACCAATAACAAGAAAAAGAAAACAAAAAGAACGGACAACGAAAGACGGGGGAAACGGAAACTCACTCGGGGGCACGCCAAAGCCTGGGACAGAAGGGAACGGAGGGGGGGCGCCGACCTTGAACAAAACAGGAAGTTATTCGGTGACAACTCATGGGAACATCCCATATCATCTTGTCGGCTCTTGCGAGTGGACGCTAACATCGACCTTAAATCGACGCCAATCAGCGCTGAATCGACGCTAGATCGGCCCTACCTAATCGACCCCCAGACGTTAATCGACGCTATTAGACGCTAGAGACAAACTTACTAGGGTACACGAGGCTCCCATGATTAGCTACCGAAGGAATTCCCATGTCTTTCAAGCTGGCCCTGTAGGCCCCAAGAGCACTCAAGATCGTCCCAAGAGGCTTCCAGGAAACCCACAAGGCCCAAATCATGGAAGCCCTTAGAGATAATGCATGATTCGTGTGTTCTCGCATTTCCGCCTCGAGCACGCTTCCGAATTTTAGCGCATGCCCCCAAGAGCCGCTCGGGACGCCTCTTGGGGGCATCTTGGAGCTCTCCTCGAGGCCTCTCAGGAGCTCTTGAGGGCCTCTCGGGGCCCTCCGGCGCTGGGTACCTCTTGGAGGCTCCCGGGAACTCGTCGGGGCCTGCACAGCGCGCCCGTGGGGCCTCGGTTGTGCCTCTTCGGGCGTCATGGGGACCTCTTGTGGCCGCTTGGGGCCACTTCGTGCCGCTCGGGACGCCTCTGGGAGCTCTCTGAGGGCACGCGCAAGCCTCGGAAGCGCATCGGAGGCGAAAGTGCGAGAAAACCGAAAACTATTGATTTCCCCTCGCTTTTCAATGCATTCGGCCTCTCGAAGGCTTCCCCGGAGCTCTTGTGGGACTCTTTGGAAGCGTCTTGGGGCGATCTTGAACGCTCTTGGGTGCTTCCAGAGCCGTCGGGGGCCCGGCCTGGACAGCCTTGGAGCACTCTTGGGCTGTAGGGTAGTACCGGGGAGTTGCGGTCGATGGTGGCGACATTGGCAGAGCCCCGGGGGGGGGCGGCGGTATCCAGTTATACGTAGCACCCCGCAGATACGGATACGAGTGCGGGGGCGGTGGGGACGTCGGCAGTTTGCAAGACTCTGGAGAAGCCCGCCGCAGGCGCCAAAGTTTCACAAGTTATGCAACGAACCCGCCGCAGGCGCCGATTTTCTGTTCAACCAATGTGGGTGGGTCACGGGTGGGTCGCGGGTGGGTCGCGGGTGGGTCGCGGGGTGGGTCGCGGGTGGGTCGCGGGTGGGTCGCTGTTGGGTCGCGGGTGGGTCGCGGGTGGGTCGCAGGGTGGGTCGCGGGGTGGGTCGCGGGTTGGTCGCGGGTGGGGGTGAGTAGCGGGTGGGTCGCGGGGTGGGTCGCAGGTGGGTCGCGGGGTGCGTCGCGGGGTGAGCCGCGGGTGGGTCGCAGGTGGGTCGCGGGTGGGTCGCGGATGGGTCGCGGATGGGTCGCGGGGTGATTCGCAGGTGGGTCGCGGGGTGGGTCGCGGGTGGGTCGCGGGGTGTGTCGCGGGGTGAGCCGCGGGTGGGTCGCGGGGTGGGTCGCAGGGTGGGTCGCAGGGTGGGTCGCGGGGTTGGTCGCAGGCGGGTCGCGGGGGGGACGACAACAAGCAACACCAACAACAACAACAACAACAACAACAACAATCATTTTACCCGAACGCGTGGTGTTCTCCCCAGTGCCAGGGTTTTCATACGACACCAGGCAATACCCCCACTTCGTGGGGGGGCATTACAAGCTCTACCAAATATCCAAACGACTCTTCGCGACCACCCAAACCCAGCTTCCCGCCCTATGACGTTGGGACACTTCACTTCGTGGCGTGCGGACGACCGTGGCTACTACACTGGCGCGGGGTACACACCCACAGAACCCAATGGTTTTTGGAGATTTCGGCGTGCGCGCGCGAAGAAAAAACGAATGTGTCCCGCATGGTATTATTTGACAGGGATGATGGCCCTGGCAGGTGCGCAACCGTTGTCGCAGAAGTTCGAAAAAGTTGCTCGCAAAAACCCGTTTGACAGAAATGTTTAAAAAGTGTTGGGTTTCCTACGAATCCGCAAGAGCGCGCGGGATGAGATTTTGACATTTTTTTGTTGAAAAACCATTGGTTTTTTGATGTTTTTATGTTAAAATCGCTCCGAACACTAAGCTTTTGGAAGGATTTCGTCTTGCGCGCGCGAATGTCCACTTTACCTTATTTTTTACAAGGGATTCTTGAAATTTGATTATATTAGAACAAGAAATGTCATTTTATAGTGTTTTTTGCAAGGGAAAGCGGATTACAACAAAACAACCGGATCTTGATCACACTCGAATTACCTGAGGCTTCCTCACGAAAATGATGAAAATGTAGCTGCGGCCTAGGCGCGGCGGGGGGGGCGCGCACACCAGGGGCCCCAACAATAATTATTCTTTAGAATTAATAATGTTCAACAACAACAACAACAACAACAATTACTAGCACGTGGGGACACACCGTTCTCACCAGTGCCAGGGTTTTCATAGGAGGCGGGCAATACCCCCACTTTGTGGGGGGGCCGGTTCAAGCTCTACCAAATTTCCAAACGACTCTTCGCCACCACCCACACCCAGCTTCCCGCCCTATGACGTTCGGACACTTCACTTCGTGGCATGCGGACGACCGTGGCTACTATTCAAGGCCCCGCGGCCGACGACGACGGCGTGCGCGCGCGAAGAAAAAACGAATGTGTCCCGCATGGTATTATTTGACAGGGATGATGGCCCTGGCAGGTGCGCAACCGTTGTTGCAGAATTTCGAAAAAGTTGCTCGCAAAAGCCCGTTTGACAGAAATGATTAAAAGGTGTTGGGTTTCCTACGAATCCGCAAGAGCGCGCGGGATGAAAGTTTGACAATTTTTTTTTGAAAAACCAGTGGTTTTTAGATGTTTTTATGTTAAAATCGCCACGAAAACTAAGGTTTTGGAAAAAAATCGTCTTGCGCGCGCGAATGTCCACTTTACCTTATTTTTTGCAAGGGATTCTTGAAGTTTGGTTATGTTAGGAGAAGAAATGTCCACTTTAGCTTATTTTTTGCAAGGGAAAACGGGGGACGACAAAACAACCGGATCCGGACACCCACGTTTTGCCTAAGACTTCCTCACGAAAATGATGAAAATGTGGTTGCGGCCTAGGCGCGGCGAGGGGGCCGCGCACCAGGGGCCCCAACAATAATTATTCTTTAGAATAAATAATGTTCAACAACAACAACAACAATCATTCTAAGACTGTTCGCTCTGACTTGCCCGTGTGTCATTCAAAACGAATTCCCCATACCTTCGATACCCGCCCTTTCTGTCTTCGATCACACCCCCTTGGGGGATTGGTTCTCTTTGCGGGGGGGCGGCGGGCTTAGACAGGCGGGCAAACCTGAATGGGTGGACAATCTTTCGTGGGCGTACATATGCCGGCCATTGGAATTGGTGTGGCCCCTGCAAAAAGAGGAGGGGGAGAACGAGGGAGAGAGGGAGGAAGGGAGGGGGAGGGACGAAGGAAAAGGGAAAACGCCAGGAGAGAAGGAGCGAAGAGGGGGGCGGATGATGAGAGGCAGGGAGAGAGAAATAAA